GGAAGAATGAATACGACAATATATATTTATCCAATTTTTTAATTGTTTTTTTTGTAATATATAATACCTTTTATATTGATTTTAGTTCTATCTGATTAAATTGTTTGAGCCCAAAATAAATAACTTTTTTAATTTATTTATTTTTAGTCGATATCATTTGTTTATTGAGACCGTCAACTGAGTTCATTTAAATGGTTGTGAGTAAAGTGATTGCCCTTATTTTAGTTTTTTTATTTATCCACAATTATGCAACTATAAATTTTTTATGAATAAAAATGGCATAATGTGATAATTATTGTTAATTTTTTGTTATTGTAACACATGTTTTGTTAAGAGAATGATGCGAGTATAATATCGCCACTAAATTGTTGCAATAAAGTTCAATAAGGTTATTGTAATCATCAACTACTTTTTTCTTATCATATACCATAAATGTTAGTTTATCAAAATAATACACACTTATAAGTTATATAATGTATTTTAAATGTATCTATTTTAATATTTTACGAAAATTCAATCAAGGTTCATTTCCAAAAATTATATTAAATTTTATTATACATGAGTTGCACACAAAAACATAAATAAATTTGTTATTGATATGACCATTACCGATTATTATACCTGTTTGTAAGTTTACAAAAGGTAATTTATCTTGCATGTCAGTTTGATCAGCATCAAACTTATTTTGCAAAATAAATAAATAAAGATCATTTACTTTAATTTATATAGATAATTAAAAAAAAAGAGAAAAATATGTAGACCTAATCTGAAAGCAAATGCATGCAGTTCAAAATTGAATCATTTTTGTTTTCTTAAGTATTTAATTTATATTTTTTAATTTCAATTGGAACATATTTCTACATGTTTATTTCAATTATTTTATATCAGTTTACCTATATAATAGTAATAATATAATAGTAATAATATCTTTGTTATCCAGGAAGTTTCAATGAATGTCATTATTGTGAAAAAAAAATTTCGTTAAAAAAACATATGGTATTTTACATTCACAATCAATAATATGTTATTTCTAGAGTCACCGATAACAACTGTTTGATGATTATTATTTATAACAATGGTCATAATGAATACAGTTCATCGATTACTAAGATTATATTCAAGTGAATATCTAAATATATTAAATAAAATATTGTCATACTTTTTATTAACTCTATACATGTTTTATGTATCTTAAATTAAATTCACCCAAATTAATTTTTAACGTCAGGCCGCGCAATGCGCGGGTCGCGTACTAGTATATCAAACTACGACTCACTCTAAAATGCACGTAAATATGACGCATGTCAACTTTTCTAACACTAAAAAGACAAAAATACAAAACGAGATAAAAAATAGACAAAACACGATAAAATGAATTGGTCGACACAAAAATGAACCTAAAAATACACGACCAAGGCACGAAAAATAAATGAAAAATAGGGAAAATTTCACTTTTGGTACCTAAAGTTTACCTACTTTTCAGTTTTGATACCCGTGGTTTTAACTTAATCAATTGTAGTCACTAACGTATTCAAAATCCATCATTATTGCCCAAATCGTCAGTTGACCGTGAGTCAACTGACCACCACCTTCTCTAGCAGGTCATCTTCTTCTGCAAGTGATAGAAAATGGCGGGCATCTCCATTACAGCACCACAAAGCCGCCGAAAGTGAGGGGAAAAAAAAGAATTTGAAGATGAGTAGTTCAAGAGGAAGCTGGAACTCTCGCTGGAACTCCGAGATTAATGGTGCTCCAATGGAGATGACCTGCAATTGTGGAGATAAAGTATACTTGAAGACCTCTTGGACTCGAAATAATCCGGGAAGAAGATATTGGGCATGCCCTAAATATGGGGTAATTAATTATTTTGTTTTTGTTTTCATTTTAGTTTTAATTTGCGCCTAATGTAAATTAAGAAGAATTTGTAAAAAAAAAAAATTGCAGAACTTTGGTTTTTGCGGATTTTTTATATGGTTTGATCCGGAAATCAGAAGATGCTCGTCGCAAATCTGAAATGGAAGCTCACAATACACCAATCGATTGCCCACTTGAATGCGATAAATGAAAGAAATTTTTCTAAGGGTAAAATGTTAGGGTTTTTTCACAGCAATTAGGTCTGCTCGATTGGAAAAATTAGGGGAAACCGATTATTTAGGTTTCTTTGGGGAAAGCAACCTGCTAGAGAAGGTGGTGGTCAGTTGACTCACGGTCAACTGACGATTTGGGCAATAATGATGGATTTTGAATACGTTAGTGACTACAATTGATTAAGTTAAAACCACGGGTATCAAAACTGAAAAGTAGGTAAACTTTAAGTACCAAAAGTGAAATTTTCCCATGAAAAATACCACAAAACACAACAAACATTGTGGGATTTTGCATTTATATATAAAATATATAATTAAAATTAATTTGATGTTAAAGTATGAGAGATGTGATGTGGAGTGATTATTAGTTAAAATTATAATGAAGAAGTAGTATATAGTATATAAAAAACCAGATTTACGACAGAAACGTGGAGGGGCGCCACGAAAATCCGGAATTCAAAAACACAGAGCAGCTGAGCAGGGAGGCATTGAGCCATGGATGGGAAGCTGGATCGGAGAAAATTTGTGTTTGTGTTTGGTTTTGTCGTGAAAAATTTTTTTAAAGACAAATTGAGTCCTCTTCGAAACGGATCTTAGCTCACCCGCTTGTCCTTTCAGCAGTGCCACCACCAGATCACCACCGTCGATTGCCAACCGTCCGGCCCAGCCGGCGGCGTGCTCGTTTTCGTGTCCGGCAATCTCCAGCTCTCCGGCGAGCAGCAACCTCTCAGGTTTAGTCAGGTACTTTTTAGAAATCTAACGCTGTCCTTTTTTTTTTTTTATGTATTTGTTTGTTATGATTATGACTAATTAAATTTTCGATTTGCTGATACTCAGAATGTGATTCTTTGAGTTATATTCAGATTCCTTCTGATTGAATTTTAGTTATCGTTGATTAATTGATTGAGTTTAAGAAGGCGACGAAGTAAATAAGATCACCACTGTTCGTCACTAGTTTAGCTAAATACTATTTCATTCTTTCCGCGAAGGGAAATGTGGTGGCACACTGGCACTTACTGTGTCCCAATATCTTGAATTGAAGGATCTTTTATCTGATGAATAATGTGTATCTTAGGAGTTATTCGAATGGCACAACTATCTTAATTCAATTGCCTATATGCCGGATGATAGCATCGTGATTTAGATTTTATATATAGCGAATGGGTCGATCCTTCTCTCTGTATTTTAGCAGAATTTATTTGGAGTAAGTTCTAGCTGATAAGGACATACCTATTGATATTTCATTTGGCCGGGTAAGTTGGATATTATTTTTGAGAGAATACGAGAGGGACTGCAAAAAACGAGTGCAGATGCTATCTGTACATGTCAAGGTTACGTGCAAATCAAAATAGAAAATCGGTTGAACCCGAGATTCAATTTCTTTTGTCAGAAATATGAATGATTTCGAACCAGGGAGCTTTGTAAAGAATCGGTAAACAGCCCGTCAATATGATGACCTGTAAGTTGTAACTTAAAAGCAGTACATACAACATAATAACTTACTTGTAGCATAATACATTATTACTTTTCTTTAAACTAAAAACTGGAATCATATTGAAATATTTTTTTTTTTTTTAATTCCCTTGTGTTTCTGTCACTAAATTGTATACGCGAATTATGATTCTCAGTTCTTATCAACATCAGGAACATGATACTAACCATCAAACTATAATAGATATATCGAGAAAAATCGTTCAAGCCTGCTAGAGACACTGCATCCCATACGCTCTCCTAGCAAGTGTTTATATTACCACAGCTAATATTGTTGTATTCTGCAAAGTGCATATGTACTGAAGGCACTTCAGCATCGTGCATTTGGATATAATGTTTTGGGCAATCATGTTTGTCACAAATTCATGGGTCTGTCTGAATTATGCATGAGCAAGCTGGAACTCAACTGGGTGTTGATTGAAGTCTCTGCCTGTGAACTTTGTATGTATTCAAAACTCAAAACTGTGTTAGGTTTCTAATGAACTGATTAGATTCATATGCTTGGCTGATTGTGTATTCTTGTCGCCAATTGTTGTGAAGATTGCAAATTCTCTCGGTTGAGATAGGATCATGTTGATTGAGTGAACTCTCTGAACTCATTACAAATGGTTGAATCAAAAGAAATTTTATGTACCTTTAATTCCATATACCTTTAAGAAGTACTATGGTTGGGGCAGATTCGACCTCACCCCTGGGTTCCCACCCCCCAACCGGTAAGGCGAAATCCAACTATGGTTGGGAGTGTCTAAATATTTTAGTCTGTTATATTTTTGAGAAAAAAAAAATCAGAATTTAAGATTTTCGTTTGGTCTGTTGGCGTGCTATTGATGGGATTTTCAGAAAAATGTAATGACACAAGAATTTTGATTTCTCAAGCAACCAACCCTCACATGCTTTTTCCAATACAAACAACTTGTAAAAAAAAAAAACAACAACAACATACCCAGTATATTCCCAACTGGTTGGGGTCTGGAGGGTCTGTTGTACGCAGACCTTACTCTTGTAATTATACAAGGAGGTTGTTTCCGTAGCGACCCAAGGTGCATTGCGTCGTTTGATATATTTTTTTCCTAGAAACTTCACTAATAGAAGAAGCACTAGAATTTAATTGAGCCATTTTGATCTAGTCCATTATTAGCACTATGCCAGGAGAATTGTCAACAATGAATTTTCCAGCTCCATTTGCAATGACAAAAAAAAAA